GGGGGGGGGGGGTACTACCATATATGGGCTATATAGGTATGTGCCGCTGTGAAGGGAATGGTTTTCTAGCATTTTACGCTTGGATAGGGTATATAAATCAGAGCGTCTGGGTCTAGAATAGGGTATCATTTTTCAGGAAACTAATCAGTTGGTTGAAGATTTTATCTAGACTAGGGAAACAGCTACCCTAGGATAGGGGGATTTGGGGACTTAACTCTAGTATAGGGTAGCAAAATTCAGCTGAATTAGCTCTGGTATAGGTTAAGGGTTCCAGGGTCCCAGCGGCACATCCCCTCCCAGAAATTCCTAAAGTACCCCTCGGGGGTCTTATTTAGGAGTACGTTCACCCGGACAATAATACTCAACCTATTTACTCCTTTACTTGTTCAAAATCACCTAAGGCCTAGTGAATTAAAGCTAGATTACTGTAGCCTGTTGGACCTTGTTGCAACAGAAACATGTTCAGCACCAAGCTTCTTGAGTTCGATGGCTAAAGCACGTTGCTGATACTCCTTTGCTTGTTCAAGGTTACCTAAGTCCTTGTGAATTAAAGCTAGATTACCGTAGCTTGTTGCAATAGAAACATGTTCAGCACCAAGCTTCTTGAGTTGGATGGATAAAGCACGTTGCTGATACTCCTTTGCTTGTTCAAGGTCACCCAAATCCTGGTGAATTAAAGCTAGATTATTGTAGCTTGTTGCAACAGAAACATGTTCAGCACCAAGCTTCTTGAGTTGGATGGATAAAGCACGTTGCTGATACTCCTTTGCTTGTTCAAGGTCACCTAAGTTCTTGTGAATTAAAGCTAGATTATTGTAGCTTGTTGCAACAGAAACATGTTCAGCACCAAGCTTCTTGAGGTCGATGGATAAAGCACGTTGCTGATACTCCTTTGCTTGTTCAAGGTCACCTAAGTCCTGGTGAATTAAAGCTAGATTATTGTAGCTTGTTGCAACAGAAACATGTTCAGCACCAAGCTTCTTGAGGTCGATGGATAAAGCACGTTGCTGATACTCCTTTGCTTGTTCAAGGTTACCTAAGTCCTGGTGAATTAAAGCTAGATTATTGTAGCTTGTTGCAACAGAAACATGTTCAGCACCAAGCTTCTCGAGTTGGATGGATAAAGCACGTTGCTGATACTCCTTTGCTTGTTCAAGGTCACCTAAGTTCTTGTGAATTAAAGCTAGATTACTGTAGCTTGTTGCAACAGAAACATGTTCAGCACCAAGCTTCTTGAGTTGGATGGATAAAGCACGTTGCTGATACTCCTTTGCTTGTTCAAGGTCACCTAAGTCCTTGTGAATTGAAGCTAGATTATTGTAGCTTGTTGCAACAGAAACGTGTTCAGAACCAAGCTTCTTGAGTTCGATGGATAAAGCACGTTGCTGATACTCCTTTGCTTGTTCAAGGTCACCTAAGTCCTGGTGAATTAAAGCTAGATTACCGTAGCTTGTTGCAACAGAAACATGTTCAGCACCAAGCTTCTTGAGGTCGATGGATAAAGCACGTTGCTGATACTCCTTTGCTTGTTCAAGGTCACCTAAGTCCTTGTGAATTGAAGCTAGATTATTGTAGCTTGTTGCAACAGAAACGTGTTCAGCACCAAGCTTCTTGAGTTGGATGGATAAAGCACGTTGCTGATACTCCATTGCTTGTTCAAGGTCGCCTAAGTCGTGGTAAATTTGGGCTAACTGATTGTACGCTGCTGCAACGTCCACGTTTTGGTCACCCAATAGCCTGATGCGAACATTGAGAGAGTTTTCGAAGTATGTCTTTGCCACATTAAATTCACAGTGCATTTTACATATGTCGCCAAGATTCGACAATTTTTCAGAAATGTCCTGAGCATGGACTTGAGACATATTTTCTGCCGTAATGATTGTATTAACTGGCACAATAAGGGCACGTACGTGCGGAATGATGTGCATGGTGTCCATTGTTCTATTTTCGGGTGGAATTGTGACTATGAAGTTGTTAAATGACTTAACAGCTTCACTTACAACCTTGAGCGTTTGATTCTCTCCATAGTCACTCATCACCCATTTCATTGCGTAGTACACAACCTGATGTACACGAATGTAGCAGCAACCATCTTCTTCTTCCTCTAAAAGAAGCAGTGAACATTTTCTGAATCTCCTACGAATGTGTTCCTTGTCCTCTTTGTCCAGTTCAAGAACGTTTATAAGGCAACTGACCGCTATGTCAACGTTTAATGGTTGTGGTGCGCACAGGGAAAGAAATTTGAATAGATATTCAAAAACCTTGTCGGATTTGATTTGTGTTTCGACAGCTAACGTTATTGCTGTAGTCATGGTGTTTGGATAAATTGGGTTGGTATCAGCAAGGGTATTCTCGGTCGTTTCTCCTTTGCCTTTTTCTAAAATCTTTAGGTATTCGTCCCAGCCAAAGTGCTTCGATGCTTTTTCCTGTCGAATGTCTTTTACAAACACGGCCGCGCCTGCTAAAGCAAGTGGCTGATAGTCCAGTTTCTGGGCAACAATTTCCCCTAGCTCGATATCGAAGACCCCAGAAAGCTTGGCCAATAAGGAAGTGGCATCGTTAGGATTCATTCCTTTGCTTACTGAAATGTGATTGATGAAAGAGCTTTTTAATGGGATGGACTTTGTATCTTGGATTGTAATTAACAACTGACCTCTTGCCCACGTCTCGGTTCCAGACTGTGGTAGGTGATCATGTACAATAGTCTGTGTAGTCACATTGTCCACGACCAATAGCCACGACGTGTAACACCCAATTTTTGCAGCAATAAGCATCTTGAGATTGGCAATCTTGTCCCCAATGTTCCAATCCTTAGAGCTCAAGGTTTGCATCACTGAATATTCTGGGCACTTTAACTGACGAGCAAAGTTGGCATATGACTCCAAAAGTGAGTCTTGACTGGCAGCGTTTATGGTCATCACAAAGAAGGAAGTGCCTGGTATTTCTTTCACTTCATCAAAGAATTTTTGAGCTATGAGGCCAGCTAGTTGTGATTTGCCACTTCCGGGATTCCCTGAGATGTACAAATAACTCAATCGGTTCTCATTGGCCTTCTTTAGTTCTCTCAGTTGACAGGCTATTTGTGCTACTTCACTTTCACGGCTTTCAATTTCGTGTGTCGGTTTACTAGGGAGAATACAGAATGAAGACGCTTCTTTCTGAAGCTGGTCTTCAAGAACCTGGCGCTGGTTCTCTTTTTCTTGAAGTTCTTGCTTAACATCGTCAACCTCTTTCAGAATTTTATGTAATTCGTCGGTTGGGAAAGTTTTCTGATTTTTTATCTCATCAATTTTTACAGTAGAGAGACCAAGCGCATGAAACGCAACATGAACTTTGCCAATGGCATTCTGAAAATCCATCTCAGGGAGACTTCCCTGTGGTATGTGGGCGAATTCCTCGTTTCTAAACTTTCTAAGATCATCCACATTTTTTCTGACTGTTGATGCAAGGTAGGGCCCGACACAATCAGAGTAAAGGATGGCGTAAAACAGCATTGTGCAATCCCATCCCACTCTCTTTCCATTTATAATGGTGGCCAAAAGATGAGTATTTCTTCTTTGATTTCTTGGAGACTCGCTGTTGTAAAAGTCCGTTCCATTTTGGGCCACATCTTTCCATTCTCCCAATGGTGTTGATTTGTATTGATTGTCCCATTCACGTTTAAAAACCTCTCTGAGGCCTTCAGCTAGGATATCAGTGGTTACATAACAAATTCTGAAGTAGTTCAGTTGTTCTTTGGTGTATTCTTTTGAAAGGGCCATGTTTGACGCAACGTTTGACGCACTGCTCAGGCTTGGAACCTTAGGGAAAATAAATTAAGGAACAAGAAACAACTTAATGAACGTTGAAGAAAAGAAAGACAGGATCTCTTAATATGATTTAAACGAAATAACTTTTTGTTCTAAATCGTCGTTAACTCGATCGATGTCAATCAGTTGAAAAGCCTCATTTACTAAGCATAGCAGGCTTTCCTTGATTGAGTCTTTTGAAACACTTTTCAATCTGTGCTAACAAGCTAAAGGAAACATTTTTTTCCTGAAGATGTGAAAGATGTGAAAAAAGCTGACGTAAAATGCTTCATTTTCAAACTTGCCCCCGTTTTTGTATTTTAAGAATAGAATCAAAGATCATTTAAGTGGCCTATAATAAGGGAGTCGACTATGATTTAGGCACTGATGTGAATTGCCGCAACATGATTAAAATTATGCAGAAATTCGTGTTCACGGTGGGCCCATAGGACGCACAATAGAAGTGAAAATTTTTTTTTCAAAAACTCAATTGGTTAAAGAGTTATTAAGGTTTGATTTTTGAATTTCCCGCCATTCTGTTACTAATTTTAGAGACAAGTACATTTCAAGATGCTATATATCTCCTAAAGCAATTGAGCTTTTCCAAATGTTTTTTTCGCATTTGCTTCTATCACGTCAAGTTCTTTCAAAATTATTTATTTGTTTTCCCATCAAAGTTAAATTTTGCTGTCAGTCTTGTGGCGTCATTTCCCCGTCAAAAACCGTTAAAATCGAAAAACAAAAAACATAGGATTTTTTGGAATACAGAGTTCTACCATCCTGCAAAGTTTGAGCACAAACGAATCAGAAATGTAAAACTAGTTCCTAGGTTGCAGCTTTTTGCGTCATATGGGCCCAGCGTGGTTTGAAAACTGTTTAATATTCATCACCTGTAAACTTCCTTAATATATTGTTACCTTAATTTCCTTTGATAGTAATTGTATCCGTGGCCGTAATTCTTATTTCATCTTTGAAAAATTGTAATTGAGGAGGCTTAGTTAACATAAGCTTTATAGCTTCTTTTAGGCCTCCTTCGGCCTCCTCGCCATTATTTTCTACAGTTTTTTATCTTTTTTGTAATTGTATTAAATCATGTAATTTATTTGTGTGGCAAAAAAAAAATACAAATACAAAATACAAGCTTGAAGACGGTTCAAGAGTTGATTTAATTTGAAGAACTGAGTTAAATCTTCTTTTACGGACTTCTTTAAACAGGGTCTCTGTTCGTCTGTGGAGGATGGAAAGAGTGGCCGGTAAAGGAAAAAAATGTAGCAAGAAAGAAGGGTTGAAATCGTTTCGCATCGTGCACCAAAAACAAAAATGCAGAACTCTTAACTAAATCTTAGACGTGCTGCAATCTTATTTCTAGCCATTTCCATGATATGTCAATTAGCAAAAAAACTGGTCCGAAAAGGAGGATTTGATCTCTAGCTGCGTTCACTAAAGCTTATTTAAGAGAAGACGGAAAGGATTTTTAAAATCTCGTAAAAATAAGCCCACTGAGGCGCTTTCCTGGTGGGAGTAGGGTGATTGTAAAGTGCCAGCAACCGAAAATGTAATTATTGGGCGGCCCGTTATGGCAAAGCCCAATTATAAAATGGAGGCCGCCTCATCTGTGCAGAAAAAAGACAAAATGGCGGACAGAACTCCCAGAAGGCTTTGCGTGTCCCATTCCTCTTCAATGGGGCCGATTTTTGCGGAGACGGGACGGGTCATTTCAGGTCATCTGGCGAACAGATTTGGAAGTCGATTTGGAACGAATACAAAATTATTGCGTGGAGTTATTAAGCCTATATCTACGCCGAATGATTATCTAAATACAGTATTCGAAAGTCGATATTAGGGAGTTTAAGCAACAACGACGGCGACGGCTACGGGAACAGCAATTAATGAAGTGAATTCGCGCTGCTTCAAGCGCGCTTAGGCCATCCCAATAAAATGTTTCGTTTCCCATCGCCCCGTCTCTTGTGATGGTGGGTCGGTCGGTCGCGCGCGAAAAAAAAAAAGAAAAAAAAAAGAAGAAAGAATGAACACTTGAAGGGGTCTGGGTTCCAGAGAAGGCCGGGCTGCTAAGTAAGCAAGAACGAGAAGTCCGAAGACTACAGCAAAGCTGATTTAAGACAACGTGTATTGTTTTTTATAACAATATTTCGGCTGGCCATACCAGCCTTCTTCAAGTTTACAGATGTTACATCTGTAACATCTGTAAACCTGAAGAAGGCTGGTATGGCCAGCCGAAATATTGTTATAAAAAACAATACACGTTGTTTTAAATCAGCTTTGCAGTAGTCTTTAGACTTCTCGTTCTTGGTTTTTTATATTTTGGCTGATTTGATCTCTTTTCTAGAGATCCAACGTTTACAACTAGCGGGATCTTCGTCCACGGTTTGTGCAGTTAATTTAATCCTTTACTGCTAAGTAAGAAAGCCTGGTTACAAGGTCAACTTGAAAACGTGGTCTTTTCAACTATCAATGTCTAAACAGCCTTTTTAAAACGTAGTATCGATGTTAATTAAAGGCAAGGACATCACATCATAGAAATTGTTGTTAATAAAACAAGATCGTGTGTTAAAAGTACTTGCTTCTTTGACTAGTGAATCTGGAATTTTTTTTTTTAGTTTTTTAAAAAAATGGGTCGGTCGGGCGATGGGAAACGAAGCATATTATTGGGATGACCTTATTCCGTCTCGCTAAATTTGTCATATGTCAGCAATTTGTTTCGGAGTTGAATTCTGAAGGATTTTATTAAAGTCCATAATAAGAAAAAGAAATTTGTGGTCTTGTGTTCCGGTCCTCGACAAAACGCGAAATTAGGCACTTTCACGATGTAGTCGTCGTGCAATGACGGCTAAGAAAAGTACAAAAAAGTGTGATGCACGTAAAAAGGTGTTGTTTTGCTAATCTAACCTATTGCCTTTTTGCTGTTCTCGTAGCCGTCGCCGTCTTTTTTGCTTAAACTCACTATTAGCTTGCCGCGGGAACTGCAGAAACAATGCCATCCCACGATCCCCAAAGGAAAAGCTTTTTAAACCTGTTGAAAGTTAATACAAGAACGAATACAGTATTTGTATATCGTCCCGTTAAAGAGAAACATCTTCACGTGGATAGTTAGAAGGTCTTTAAATACAATATCGGACAGAAAAACTGAAACTTAATTTGCTTTACGAGATTTAAAGAACAGAAATTACTGTTAAAAAGGAATTTAAGCTACCAATACCTGCCAATACTGACCCTGTCACATTTTGTAAGCGTAGAATGACAATACTTTTTGGAATTTCCGGTTAGATCAGATTAGTCACGCTAGTACTGTCATGTATGCTGTATAACTGGTCGCAGAGGCATGGGGGAATGGTAGCCTGTGTACAGACTCCTCCCCACTCCCCTCAGGAAAAATCTGAGGGGAGGGGGAGGGTCTGTACACAGACTAGGGAAGGGGGTGAGTTGTGGAAATTAAATGTCCCAGTTAAAAATAATGCCAATCGCTTCTCACTTCAAAAAGCTGTCTCTATCCCATTCCACGGCCGCCGAATGAACCCCCACTATGGGGGTCTTGTTGACTTAAAATCTAAAAATTTCCACATTACAATATCTTCATTATGAGTTAACTTGCATGCAAATGAGATACCCCCCCCGGGGGGGGGGGCACTTGGTTATTTTTTGGGTGGGTATGTGCCGCCCGGGACTCCAAATTGGCACCCCGTTCTAAAAAAAATTTCCCTTAAAATTGATACCCCGTTCTAGAAATGGGCCAATTTTTTATACCGCGTTCTAAAATTTGCCCTAAAACTGATACCCCGTTCTAGAAATGGGCCAATTTTTTATACTCCGTTCTAGGGTGCAACAAGAGTATAACAGTTTGCTTGTTAACGCATTGAACCGTATTTTTAAAAGCAATCTGTCCTTGAATAATTTCAAATGGCTGCTTACAAAACTGGAGCTCTCGTGCGTTCGAAATATTATACCCCGTTCTAGAAAACGCCTCTGAAATGGATACCCCGTTGTAAACCAGGAGCTTCAAAATCGCGACCCCGTTGGGCGGCACATACCCGTATAGGTAATGTATGGGAGTACCCCCCCCGGGGATACACCAGGCCTCTGAAATATTGATCCGTTTCGCTTGACGCTGAAGAACTTAAAGGGTGACACATAAGCACAGTATTTACCTCAAAAACCTTATAATGGGTGGATTCTGGGTTTCTTTGTCGGATCTGCAAGTTAATTCAAAAGAAGAAAACATTATATGATACGGATGGCGAATTAACACTTCTTGGTGTCTACGTGCTCCAGTGCGGAATGCGTATTGACCCGCCGCCGTTCGTCTTCGTGCATATCAATGTATCCTTGTAGCAAAAATGAACATAACTGTTAATTGATTCTTAACCCAATTTATTGAAAAATATTGAATGTAGGGAAATAGCAACAAAGATGTTTTACAAGAAAACCAATATCAACTTGCTGGCAAACTAAACCGCACAAAATTTTAAAACGACTTCCTCAGCGGAACTGGAGGGGGTGGGGGGGGGGGGGGGGGATTCATCACAATCTGGTTTAAATAACATCAGACGCTGGTGTTTCACTAGCAGCAATTCGCACAAAGCGATTTGGGATGGAAGTGTGATCTTATTGAACCTAGGTACAGCGAAAACTTTAAATTTGTTTTTTAGCGTCATTGGTCGAAAGTAACGGAAACGTGTGGAACCATTTTGTGTTGGGGTCATCCTGAACTTGCTTTCCGCGAAAACGTAGACACATCCCTTACCGTATTCCTTTTGTGTTTTTTTTCCCCAAAATATCCGCAGTACATTTAAGAAAGGGCCCCTTTTATGAGCAACACCATGTTCATAGAATAACACATTTTCAGCCTAATGCATTTTAAGTGCCTTACTCAGTATTATTTTTTAATTAAACATCATTGCCTCGCAAAACAGTTCCTTTATCTCTGTTGTACGTTGTCTGCACCTCAAGACAAGCACACAATACAAGGCGCAGAATAAGATATTATTCCTTGATTAACA